TCTGCAGTATCTGATACAAATCTGTAAAAAAATAAGCATTTTTATCTGCAGTAGCAGATACAAATCTGTAAAAAAATAAGCAATCTTATAATTCATACTACCTAATGTATCACAGTACACAACTATATTGACTAGAGAAAAAAAAACTCTGTTTTACAATATAGTGGCATTTTAATCTTAATCTAGAACTTCATGACTCTTTTCTGCAGCTTCAAAATAAAAAAAAAAGAAAGTAATTGATAGTAAATTTGAAAAGATTCCAGAGAACTTTGCTAATATTCCTAGCGTTTTTATTCGGAATTTCCTTTTGATAAAAATGTTGTATATGTATAAGTACCCTGCCACGTCCGGTCTGTGTTTTTGTTAGATGTATTTCTGCTGTGTATCGATCTAATGAGTTAAGCCCTTGTCAACTGATTTTTGTATATTAATACATGTTTATGTTACAAATGCTAAGGTTTATGGTCGATATCCTTGAAAAAAAAACTATTTATTGCATGTGTGGCAGTTTTAAAAGGGAACCTATTCATCATAATTAGCAAAAAACTTTTATATTTGACTTTTACCTGATCCTATTGGGATTAGTTCTCTTTTCAAAAGCCAGTATTGTTTTGGCAAGGTTGGTGAGGTTCCCCTATCAGCTTTTGCCTCACTGTCAGCAGGATGTTCTTTTAATCTACACTTTGTTGAACTGTCCTGCCAATAAATCCCCAAAAAGTCTACCATGGACATATTGACAAGTTTACAACAGCACGATCAAAAGAAAAAATGCATCTTCTATATCAAATTAAATGTCCTTCTTGAAAGTTTCTTTAAGAGGCATCAGTGCTGTGATGAAAGTTAAGGTGGGTGGTTGTGTCCTTTGTACAAAGATAAACCTTGTCTAAAAGATTAAATGTATAGTGCTTGGATTGTCCGCAACAGCTTCCAAGATGTGAAAAATTGCACCGAATAGAGACGTCTGCGTTTCCATCACTGGAAGCTGTCATCTTGCCACCAAAAGATTTCCACTAAGGGAGACAATTCAACCACAAAAAAAAATCGAGGCTACCTTTGGATAACTTAATGTTATATTTTATAAATAAGAAAGAAAAAAAAAACTAATAGTTAGCCGAAACTATGAGAATTATTGTCATTTATGGATATCTTGGGAGCATTTTTCAACAACATTTCATTATTTGCCAAGCTAATGTTGTTTACTTGTCTTAGAACTGATATGTACCTTTCAAAATATAATAAAAGTAAAAAATAAAAAATATGATCTTAAAAGAAAACTGCTATTGAGTACAGGTACTATATGCAAGTTATGTATTACATCTGTTGCACACACCTTTCTGGCAATCTGCCAAAAGGTTAACAATTCTCAAAAAGTATTTGTTTTAGTTATTAAATGAAGTTCTTTGTAAAATATAATAAAAGGAATATTTTATTTCAGAGATGTATCATTAATCTAGACCTGTAAAAAGAATCTAAATATGGTTTTTTTTTGTCGCCATTTTTTTAAAATAATGCACTAATATGCAAATAAGGCTGTTAATGAAAAATAGTGCAAATTAATGAAAAAAAAAAATGTATATTAACTCCTGAATACCCAAGGTTTTTGGAAATATATATAATTTTGTCAAGTATTAATAAGCAATTTGGACAAATTTTGGGATTTTGCAAGGTTTTACGGCGGACTGACTCTTAAGTGTGATAAAGTAACAGTCGATATCAATCGTAATGAGTCCCCCTTTACCCTTATCTGATATTAGAGTTGATCGTTTTACTTTATAATGTTTTCCGTTCTAAATGAAGTTAAACATTTCTCTTTTTAAACTACAAATATACGTTTTGTTTATGACTGTCATACTTGCTTCGTATGTAAATCGTGGAATTATAGGTGATGTGATTATTACAATTTTACTGATAATAATAAGATGTCTTTTTTTGCTTTTCCAAACTTATTTTCCAATTTTTATTTTTCACATTCTGTTTTATTTATACTAAATACCAAGTCTAATACTGTAACGACTTTGTTGGTGAAATTTATATTATCTTCTTTATCTTTTGGTTTTTTTTTTTAGTTTTACAGATGGGTGCAGTCCCAACCTGTCCAAAAGTTAACTTGAAGCAGACTTTTTGACTACTTTCCAAGTTAACTTGATAAATTTTAAGCAGACATCAAGTTAACTTCGTCGTTGGTAGATCAGACCTAGGTCTGCTTTTTTTAGGACGGCTGCAGACCTTTTGACAAGTCTGCTATGGACCAGTCCTGAGGACAGGTCTGCTACTGACCAGACCTCAGGACAGGTCTGCTTATGACAGATTATCGTATTTAATACTTTTCATATTAGACCTTAGCTTTTATTATGTAAACAAAAATCTTATTGTTCTTTTTCCCCAGTATAGCAAATAACTATACTCGTTAGTGACTCTGTGTACATATTACATGTATTAAACACATTAAAAATTTCTTGTTTCATTTCATATTCTTATATACATTAAATAATGGCTACACAACTTCACACTTGTTGATCGACAAATATACATGCAGCTATCATAAAAAAGGAAAGTTTTTTTTTAATTGGAAGGCGGAAAAAAAGGTTATCCAACGCATCGGAAAAATATTTGTATATGATGAGATATAAACATCATTGTTTACGTTGCTTCGTTTCCCATTTTTTTTACAATTTCTTCCCAAATAAAACTCTATGCATCACATGGATTATTCATCGTAATTCACCTTGTTTGCCTTGGATTTACGATTCTGTTTTTCACAAAATGTTCAAACGAAAATTGTGCATTGTCCGGATATACACGGTGTTGTATAGTTATGAACCATCTCGTCAATTTCGGCAGATTCATCTTTACTGATTATAAATGATATCTAGGACGTCCGAAAAAATATACTCGTTCTGAACTTGAATAAAATATTTGCCCTTGGACGTCTACCTACCAACAAAATCCACCAACTAACATAATATACTAACAATCAGTCAGTATACTACTCCCAGATGAAAACTTCTCATACTTTTCATTATAAAGTACAAATATAATCAGTCATGTCAGTGTTGAATGATGCAGTCAAATAGTTTTGTTATACAAACCATTCTGAATTACTGACTTAAGTGACGGTTAAATATTATGAATACGAAGAGGAAATGCTGGCACTTTAAATTCATGTGGATAGTATTTTGTTTTCATCATGGCCATTGTGTACCAATATTGCTGTCATTTGTTTTGTACAATCCACCATGAGTTAACAAAATTATGATGTATGATGCGGCTATAAATTTGTTTTACCATGTTTATTATAAATTACGAATATGGTCAGTGTTAATTGATGCTGTCAAATATTTTTGTTATACGAGCCAGCCTGAGATATTAACTGTACTGATTTTTTGTGACGCGTCAATTTTTTGAATGAAAAGCGGATACGCTGGCATTCTAAATTGATGCGTACAAAATTTTATAGTCTATGTGTTCCAATATAGCTGTCATTTTCATTATACAATCTATCCTGACATAAAAAAAACATTGATTTATTATGCAGCCATATCAATTTACATAATACAGTGCAAATATGGTCGGTTTTGGTTGATGCGGTCAAGTAATTTTGTGATTCAAGGCAGCCAGAGATATCAAAACAACTGATTTTTTTTATGGCGAGTCAATATTTTGAACATGTTGAATAATAAGACATGCTGGCTCTCTAAACTGATGCGGACACACTTTTGTGGTCATTGTGTTCCAATATTGCTGTCATTTGTATCATTAGTTTTATATAATCCATCCTGACATCAAAAAAAGAACACTGATTTATGATGCAGCCGTATAAATTTACATAATAAAGTGCAAATATGGTTAGTTTTGGTTGATGCTGTCAAATATTGATGTATAAGAACCAGAGGTATCAAAACTACTGAATTTTTGTTACAAGTCAATATTTTGAATAAAATGAAGACACGCTGGCACTCTAAATTGATGCGGACCAAATTTTGTAGTCATTGTGTTCCAATATTGCTGTCATTTTTATTGAACAATCAATCCTGACAAAAAAATACTGATTTATTATGCGGCTATATAAATTTACATAAAGTGTAAATATGGTTAGTTTTGGTTGTTGCCGTCAACTAATTTTGTTATACGAGCCAGCATGAGGTATCAACACTACTGAATTTTCATTACGAGTCAATATCTTGAATAAAAAAGAAGACATGCTGGCACTCTAAATTGATGCGGACAAAATTTTGTAGTCACTGGGTTCTAATATTGCTGTCATTTGCATTATATAATCCATTCTGACATAACAAACATTACTGATTTATTATGCAGTCATATCAATTTACAAAATAAAGTACAAATGTGGTCAGTTTTGGTTAATGGAGTCAAATGATTTTGTGATACGAGGCAGCCTGAGATATCAAAACTACTGATTTTTTGAGGCGAGTCAATATTTTGAACATGTTGAATAAAAAGAGGACATGCTGACTCTTTAAATTGATGCGGACAAAATTTAGAAGTCATTGTGTTCCAATATTGCTGTCATTTGTATTATACAACCCATCCTGACATAAACAAATACTGATTTATTATACGGCCATATAAATTTACATAATAAAGTGCAAATATGGTCAGTTTTGGTTTATGATAATGTGTGATCAAGGCAGACTGATATATCAAAACTACTGATATTTCGTGGAGAGTCAATATTTTAAACATGTTGAAAAAAAGAGGACATGCTGGCACTCTAAACTGATGCGGACAATTATTTATAGTCATTGTGTTCCAATATTGCTGTCATTTTTATTACACAATCCATCCTGACATAAACAAAAAATACTGATTTATTATGTGGCCATATACATTTACATAATAAAGTGCAAATATGGTCAGTTTTTGGTTGATTCGGTCAAATAACATGGCTAATATAATTTATTGTTCTGACAGTATTGCTATATGGTGTTCTATTCTATACCTACGTACAGTATTATGAACAATTCTACTTTTTATTTCAGTATGATGCAACTCCCTTACACTTAGCTGTTAGAGGTGGACATGTCGAAATAGTTCAATTGTTATTAGAAAGAGGAGATATAGATCCAGATAGAGAAAATGAGGTACGGAATGAAGTTCATTACAGGATTGTCCGACTTTGCAAAATCATCCATCAATATCATTTACTACTAGCAAGATTTCAGTCTGACACGTTCATTTTGGTCTTATCAAGTCTTAATCGACTGAATTTACCGCAAGACAAAATCGTTAAGACTTTTTCAGACTTTCAGACGCTTTTCCGATCTAAAGTGTTCAGTCCGTTCAGTCATGTCAAGATAAACAAGACAGATTGTTCTAGGTTCGATTAAGACTTAAACAGACCACGTTCAGACCAAAGGTAAAAATGCTGTTTAGATTTTTTGAGATCGTGTGCAGTCGTGTTAAGATTTTAAATATTCGGGTGAAACACGGGCGACTAGTTATCTGTGTGTATCAGGGAGTATCCCCCCTTTATGAATAAAATCGGCATAGCTTGAAGAATGTTCTTTTGTGGTCTTTTAGTGTAATATTGTATGCCTATTTAATTAAATAACGTATGCAAATTTACAATTAATAAAGAATATTTTCGATAGCATTTTTAACATTAAATTGGTTATATAAGGACAGAATAGTTGTTATAACCCGAAAAAGTGTGTAAGTCATGATAAGAACTGTGCAGTCGTTCTTTCTGACATTTTAATAATCCTGTATCTATTAATTTCGTCTGTACAGATATAATGATTAGTAATATATCACAAAAATGTTCTTTAACAAATTTTCGCCTTTGCGATTCGATATAAACTTTAAAAATCTGCTTCAAAAAGGGCGTGATTTCTATTTATCCTTTAATGCATATTAATCTTTAATATTTTTGCCATTATGGAAAAAAGTAAAATAACAAAAAAAATCTAACTCCGAGAAATAAACTAAACGGAAGTCCCAAGGGGAAACGGCAAAATCAAAAACTAAAACACATCAATCGAATGGAAAATAACTGTTTTAGGAATTGTTTGTACGTGTACAAATTCCAAAAAGTATTATCAAACCACTTCGTCCTATCTATGAATAGTTCAAAATAATTGTTCTTAGTCATGTAAAATTTTTCAAGGAAAATATATTCTGGGTATCTGATTTACTTTTTGTTTTTAACTTTTGACAGATGTTTGCTGAAAGGTATTTTCATTTTAATAAAGGGATTATCATAGCAGTCAAACCGAAATGGATTGTCACACACCATCTTAACAATTAAAAATAACCATGGCTCACAGTGCAGCATAAAATAAATAAATGTTATTTTATTATTGTGTCACATATTGATTGTACATTATTAAATAACATAATAAAAATTTACATACTAAATGATATCATGGAAAAATACAAACAGGCATAAGTTAAGAAACGTTTGATAAAATGAAAATGTACATAATCATGTGATTCTTCGGAATTGATGCAAGAGCTATGAAATAATGTAAAGAATTGACGTGTACCAATAACCGGGAGCAGTTTATAAAATTTTCATTTCGATAAAAAAAAAATGCAAATTAAGTAAAATTAAGGAATTTGTATCATGCTGTTACATTCAAAAGTCTTTAACTGTAAGTAAATGATTGATAGAAATACATTGATTGTAGTGTATCGATCGTAAAATTAATGTCCAGTGTCAAGTATTACACATCGATGACCGCTTAGATGGTCAACTGATTCAACAGAAATTTAAAGTTAGATAAAGTTCTAATGCAGTTCATTACGCTACAATTGTAATTATTATTTATATTTTTAAACATGCATGTCGAGAACAAAGACTCGAGTGACACGAATATGCATTGATTTGGTCTAGCCAAATATGTCATGTCTACCAGAAGACATTGTTGTGAATCCAAGCCAAATTGACCAATGTTCCAACTTTACTCATAAATAATGCGTGCTTGTGGAAAAGAAGTTAATATCAATCTCAAAAGAATGCGTTTCGGTTGTTGAACAACAAATCCCCTGCACACGGGGACAGAAAGCTACCGAGACTTCCAATGCTAATTCATCAGTCATATTTATATAATCAGAATATGCATGGTGGTGTTTTCAAAAAAACTATTTTGATTGTTGAATTTAAGGAATGCTCTGATTTTACCAATCAATCTTTCTCTTTTGTTTTCGCTTGATATCATCCTGCATATCATGTACTATTGTTCGCTGAATGGTCAGCGATCAAAGCCGAGCATGTTTACGTAATGCAATGTGTAGATACAAGTATACAAACTGTTTTTAATTTATTTACATGGGAAATCATGAATCGTGTGTCGTGTTCTACCTATTATCATCTAATTTATTAGATTGACGTTAACTATTATCAATATAATTATCATTTTGCATCGACGTTACTCTATATGCGTGTTTTTGCCACTTTACTTAGAAAGATGTGCATTCCTTATTCCATTTAACACTTGTCTTAAAAAAAATCAACATATTTTATTTCATTTTTGCCATCGAAGTTCTTGATAGATATGTCTTTTATGATCTCTCAGGTAAATATCAAAAAAGAATCTAGAGTTTTGCATGTAAATGAACGGATGTGAATCAAGGATTAGGTTCTGTAATGACAACTCATTTCCGTGGATGGTTGTACAAACTTGCAATTCATCCTCAGTCTGTCTTAATTATTTACAGTTTAAGGAGCGTAATTCATCTTTTGCAAATAGATAAAGAATAAAATTTAAACCCTTTTTCGATTGCATACAGGCAGAGAGAAACATTTTTTTTTCTTTTAAATTCAAATAATTACAGAAGAGTATTAGTATTAATATTAATTTAACATGAACCTTGTTCCAATTTGAATATATGATTTGTTTTTTTTTTCCTGCACATGGTAGATAAACATTGTATTATTCAACTTTTTTTTCAGAGGTCTGAAAAATATTACGATCCCGGGAATCACACGTCTCAGTATTGAATTCTCGTAAAATTCCGAAACTTGCAGTATGGTCATATCAAAAGGATGCTGGGCTTGTCATATACCAAACAATAGACAACGCTTATATATATTGTTAGAATTAAACAAATTTGAAAGTGAAATATTACTATACATTTTATGGAACGAACCGGCTGTGGTATACAGAAAAAGAAATAACACCGAAAGTAACGAGGCTAAACCGAATTTGACGATTTTATGCTTAAAAAAACATATATTTTCCAATTAAAGGGGGAGCTTATGCCCTGTTCGCCCCCTGAATCCGTCATTGTCTAGCAATTATGACATAGTTGATCAATTTGTAGAAACATATGAAATAGAAAGTGTTTCTTATTCCTTAAACTGGGAACATTTTATGATAATTTGTGGATAATGCAAATCTTAAAACCAGTGTTTCAAAGTCAAACAAGATATGAAAAAAAAACAAATTCTGTAATTTCAGCAAAAAAAAAATAAACGTTTTTTTGAATCAGCAAATAATTGAAATCGGATTTTGATTAGTTTTGTAATCAATGGAATTTATTTAGACTAAAATATAATAAAACATGTATTCCTTTATATCTAGTATTTTGTGATCGAATTTAACGAGGTTAATATTTAAGTATGTGACAAAACAGGTACACAAATACTAGTATAAGTTGCAAATCATCCAGACTTCGTGTGGATGCGACATGTCTTTACAATTTATACAGTTAAAAAATTGTTGGAGGAGGGAGAAGTTAAGGATTGAAAAGTTAAACTTGATTTCTTTTAACTTTGTACAATAAATCAAGGTACATCTCTCTTCGATTAATTTTCCTAATTAATGAGTAAATTCATGGCTCAAGGGAAAGAGAAGCAATTAATTTATACTTAATCACCCTTTCAGTTATGATTTGTTATAAACCGACTTAAAAGTACATCAAACGGAACTCAACCAGTAGGAGATGTGGGTTATACGTCAATGTGACAGCAATCAAACGACACAAACAAAATAAGAACAGATTGAGGGTAGCATAAAGTCTTCAACAAGAAACAAGTGTCTACAAAATATGTCAAGTTCTCAATCGTCACGAATTAATATAAAATGTGTGAATACATTTAACAAAAATAATCAAAGATCTGCCATTAAAACGCACTTCTTAAAATAATGTAACATTTTAGGAGAAAGTCTGAATGTAAAAATAAAATAATAATTTATAAAGTACCAATCTTTTACTACTTTCCCTTCTTTCCTTTTACTGGTTTCCCCTTTCTTTACCCTACGAGAGAACTTTCCCATGAGTCATGGATAGAATATCGTCCGCATATTTCCCAAACTTTTATGTAAATTGAAGGCGTCATGTGTTAAAACAGGAAAAGGGTCACCCGAACCGTGCAGATAAGATGGAATATTACGATTTGATTGTTCAATAATTATAACATATTAAACAAAATCCAGCGGACAGAATATTAAAAATCGACATACTTTATATACATTAATAGTCTCTCTCTCTCTCTCTCTCTCTCTCTCTCTCTCTCTCTCTCTCTCTCTATATATATATATATATATATATATATATATATATATATATATTTATATATATATAATACGTGTCTAAATTGAAAACAACGTTCAAACCTATGATTGCGTTGGATAAAAACCGCAATTGTTATACGTGTGCATGTAAAACAAATGTCTTGGTAGAGGGGTCTAAATACAGCAGAAACAACAATTTCCAAAAGACCAAAAAAAGTGAGAAAGTCTATTTTAACAAAACGCATTTGACTAACAGGTCGAACAACTGATGTTCTTAAACCCTGCTTACTGCTATTGGCGATTGCCAAATAAATTGATCTTACATGTTTTACATGCACACGTATAACAATTGCGGTTTTTATCCAACGCAATCATAGGTTTGAACGTCGTTTTCAATTTAGACTTGTTTATATATATAAAACGTCTGAATAATAGTCAACGATTTTTCCCACAAGGGCGCTGGATCGTTACGAGTAACGATACATGTACACAATAAATAAATTATATAAACGCCTAAAAAGTGTACACAACAACACCAATAACAAAAAAATTAAATATAAAATGTAATTATTTATAAATGTTTCGGATAACAGATATCCTTCATCAGTAAATATGACTGTGATGTTAAATGAATCATATATCAGTCTACTTAGATTAAACTATAACAATCTTGAAATGTATTATAAAAAAGTCCAACCGAACATCAGGTAAGACGCTTGCACAATTCTAAATATGTGTTAAACACGACACAGGTTATATGACTAATTACAACAGAGAGTTCAAATATATGCTTTAAATAAAAATAATAATGTGCGATATGAACTAGCACAATTCGTAAGCTTTAACGGTGACGACAGTTATGATGTTACAAGAACGATTGCGTCAATAAGAATTCCAAATAAACAGCACTGAACGATCTAAATTTGTAAATATTTCAAATTTGACAACGATAGAGTAGTTACAACAGAGTCTGCGTATTTAAACATTGCAAACAAAAAGCCGTTAAAATATAATAATAAATTTTGACTAAGGTTAACTAGTTGAACGTGGCTTGGTACTTTTACATCCCTAAAAAAAGTCAGCAATTTAAATTGGTATATTCAACAGATTTATTTTAGAGATGAGTAAGGTAAAGAAATAGAAACAGAGACTGTAATAAGAAGTAATATAACCCAAATGTGAAGCACTGTGAATATACCAATTTAAATTGCTGAATTTTTTGAGGGATGTAAAAGTACCAAGCCACGTTCAACTAGTTAACCTTAGTCAAAATATATTATTATATTTTAACGGCCGTTTCTTTGCGATGTTTAAATACGCAGACTCTGTTGTAACTACTCTACCGTTGTCAAATTTGAAATATTTACACATTTAGATCGTTCAGTGCTGTTTATTTGGAATTCTTATTGACGCAATCGTTCTTGTAACATCATAACTGTCGTCACCGTTAAAGCTTTAGAATTGTGCTAGTTCATATCGCACATTATTATTTTTATTTAAAGCATATATTTGAACTCTCTGTTGTAACTAGTCATATAACCTATGTCGTGTTTAACACATATTTAGAATTGTGCAAGCGTCTTACCTGATGTTCGGTTGGACTTTTTTTATTGTATACATTTCAAGATTGTTATAGTTTAATCTAAGTAGACTGATATATAATTCATTCAACATCACAATCATATTTACTGATGAAGGATATCTGTTATCCGAAATATTTAGAAATAATTACATTTTATAGTTCCTTTTTTTGTTATTGGTGTTGTTGTGCACACTTTTTAGGCGTTTATATATATATATATATATATATATATATATACGCCTACATAGATTGAATGTTGATTGCTGCTATTTTTAGACACTATATATAATAGTTTCATCAACATTTGAAATACTGGCCAATTACGTATACTATTCCTTACGCTAATAAATCTTGATGCCTAAAAGGTGTCATGTTTTTATTTCTTTGCAGAGAAAAACAATTTACATTAACTAAAAAAGTTTAGATTGTCAGACATGAAACTCTTATTTTAAAAAAAACTTTAATTATTAATATAACATTGCATTCTAAGTATGTCATTATTTTCATCATTTTTTAATGATGCGACCGTAATAACTTTTACCTGTATAATTATTTTGTTCAACAAAATGTTTTACATTTTAACATTTGATCTTCTCTATTGCCCTCATGCTTAATGTCATCGTCATTTGTATAATGGAAGGCAATAAACATTTTGTAATATTTACCATCTGTTTTTACTTCTTACATTGGCACACATCTAAAAAGTTTTTGTATGACGTAATAATTACGAATGTAAATTTATCGATTTGGTAACTTCAGTAGAATATACATTTAAATTGCATTCCTGCACTGGCAATGTTTTTAAAAGATATTTTAATCTGACGACAAGAATACATTTGTTTGTTTACGATTTATTCGTGATGTTAAAAATTTCCCGTACTGAATTTTATTTTTATTTTTCAACAAACTGTACCTATAACGAATTTGATGATATTTAATTGTCATTAAAATTTTAAATATAGTTGAATAAAAAAAAAAAATGCGTTGCACAATAAATCCATAATAATTAGGGGATTGTTTTCTTCTTTTAAACTTATATTGCGAGGACATTAAATTACAAAAAAAATAAAAATCTAAGGACCACGTCTCTTTTACGACAAAGCATATACAAAAGAGAAAACATATCTCCTAATGTTAATTTTTTCAATGAACTAATGCTTTATTATAAGAACATATCTTCTGAAACAGTTTTTCGCTCTGTATTTTATTTCGTAGAGCCAGAGACATGTATACTATATATTTATATAGAAAATTTTGGATTGTACGTTGCGGCCAAGGTTTTTCCTAAAGCTTTTAGTTCACAAAATCATTGTAATTTAACAAAGCATTAAACATGTGCTGACTTTGGGGTCTATATCAGGAGATTGTTTTACCTAGTATTAAGGTCTTTAAAAAAGACCTAATATTCAAGAATTAAATTGTGGCCTTTTATAATCTAAAAAGTTGAAATCTAAGGCCATAGTTTACCGAAAGAGAACCCTTTCCTTTCAACACACAATTGTTCCGAATTCAATTACAAGAACTTGTTTGGTCTTTCCTAAAATTTTCGGAGAACATGTATATTTGAAGTAACTGCGATTTTAAGGCCACGTCGCGGCGATGAATTGCTTAACGTCTAGAGGCAAATTAAATGGATATTCAGGACGAGAACATGTTAAAGTAGCATAAATATAAACCCTGCTGTGTACTAGACCGACGCGCTTAGCCGGAGTCTGAACGTGCTAGTTCACAATTTTACATTCCGGAGGAAGACATGTAACCTTACCTGAACACATTATTCTGACTTAAAATAACCCCTTAACAATAGATAAAAACAATAAAATGGCGGGTATGCGTCAGCTAACGGACAACTAACAACTTAATAAAAAAAAATAAAAATCAAATGATCAATATTTTGCATTCGTCAGCAATACGCAATTGTCATTTCAATATGTCAAGTTAACTAACGCTTCTAGTTGAAATACGTTACATATATAATAGTATATTCAAACTTGCATAAAACCGATTTTCAACAGAAAAGGAGTAGGCCCTGTAAGACCCCGTTTTGGCCCCAAAATTTAGCATTTTTACAAATTTGTTGTTATGTAAACTTTTAGCTATTTATTGGAAAATAGAATACTTATGTTCCATAAAAATGGACTGTGTGTTTTTGACAATACGATGCACATGTATTAGGTACTAGCATCATAAATTCATGTAAAATCACTGAAATCGTCACACTTTTAGCATTTGTGCTAATTTTAAGACGCATTTGTGTTCAGTCTTTATATTTAGATATATGTTGTAATTGATGATAATACATAAC